AAAAAAACAACAAAACACGGAGCAGGAATGGACCTTAGGATAATCATCAGGTAGGTTAATCTGAAATTTCGTTAGAAACGTCTGAATCAGCCAGATTCCCCTCCAACACCACACACAGATTGGCTGGCAGTAGCCACTTTTGCCTCTAAGATGATACTCTGATAATTGTTCATTAAAGAAAGTGAAGGCCTGGCGAGGTGGCTCACACTTATAATACCAGCACTTTGGGAGGCTGAGGCAGGAGGACTGTCCGAGATCAGGAGATTGAGACCAGCCTGGGCAAACAGTGGGATCCTGTCTCTACAAAAAAATGCAAAAATTAGCTGGATGTGGTGGTGTGTGCCTGTAGTCCCAGCTAGTTTGAAAGCTGAAGTGGGAGAATCCCTTGAGCCTGGGACATCGAGGTTGCAGTGATCTGTAATTGCATCACTGCACTCCAGCCTGGGCGACAGAGTGTGATCCTGTCTCAAAAAAACACAAAAAAGTAATGTATCAGAACTTGATATAGCTTCAGCCCTTCACTGAAGGAGAGAAACACATTTGTGGAGAGGGGACCATATTCACTCTTTATCCATGATAGACAGATAGTCAGAAGCTTTATATACCTAAGGAACCCAAGAAAAAATGTTCCCTGTCATGACATAATCTTCCAGCCACCCTTCCTTGCACCTGTCTTGTGGGCTGGGGGACCTAACTTAGGGATTCCATTTTCCCAGGGAGAAAGAAAAATCAAATCCGTCAGTATCTCTTTTGGGGTATCCTCTTCTCTATTTGCATGGAGGATACGGCACTCTTATCTAGTAGCCTAATGTTACATTTGTGTAATACAGAACTATATTGGGATAAAGTAGGATTCGTTTCCTTTGAGCCACAGGTAGAGGTACATCCACAGTGACCTGGGTGGCAGCCACCTCTTCCGGCAGTTCCAGGCAGAGCATGTGCTCTCAGATCTGGGGAACCTCTGCTGCTCCTGAAGACCCACAATCTCCTTCCTGGCACCTTCTCCCTCTGGTGGCTGTGATAGCCCACACTTGGCCTTGGGTATCCTTCTGCTTCGCCTGCCCCTCTTCTGCCCACCCTGCGTCTCTGTCTCCCACTGTCCCCACTATGACCAGGATTGTCTCTCCCTCCTTGTGCCCTCCCTCTCCAAGGGCTCCTTGTTTTGGGAAAATGATCCCACAGCCTCTACCTTGCAATTGGGGACAGAACCCGGGGCTTGTTCAATTATCCCTCCCTCCACCACACACACCTGTCCTGAATGTTTCTAAAGTCATCGAGCTCCAAACTCAGCTCCTCCTGCACCTGCCAGCTGTAGGACCTCTGACAAGATGCCTACCATCTCGCTGGGACTCTATCTCTCATCTATAATATAGGCATAATGATGATAGTGTCCTCCTTCCAAGGCTGGGGAGAAGCCAGGAGGCCAAGGTGATGGGCCATGGACGGTCAAAACAGCTCCAATTGGCTGGGTGCGGTGGCTCACACCTGTAATCCCAGCACTTTAGGAGTCCGAGGTGGGTGGATCACAAGGTCAGGAGTTCAAGACCAGCCTGACCAATATGGTGAAACCCTGTCTCTACTAAAAATACAAACATTAACCGGATGTGGTGGTGGGTGTCTGTAATCCCAGCTACTCGAGAGGCTGAGGCAGGAGAATGGCTTGAATCTGGGAGGTGGAGGTTACAGTGAGCTGAGATCGTGCCATTGCACTCCAGCCTGGGAAACAAGAGCAAAACTCTGTCTCGAAAACAAACAACAACAACAAAAACAGCTCCAATCCTGCCTCCACCTGGGGCTGGTGTTTCAAGTCCGTTGTGTGTGAATGAAGCCTTAATGTTTCCATTCACACACGTTTTGTTCTAAAATAGATTCCCCTCTGCCTCTCCCTTCCCCAGAACTTTCACCTCCGCAACATGCAATGGTGCATCTGAGAAAGAACTGTCCCATTCCCAAATCGTCCCCATCCCAGTCCCCAGGCCCTTAGTTGGTGAGACCCTTGATGGGCAGCCTCATGCTTCTGTACAGTGGACTTTCATGTTTGCTCCGCTGCATAGAGGCTAAGTGGACTCTTCTATTCCCTGTCCACCATAGGGTCTACAGTGGACACATCTTTCTGATTCCTCCATGTTCTGCAGTTGACAGTTTCATCTGTGTCTCCTCCTACATACTTCCAAATGGACTGTCCCAGCCCTTGAACCCAAAAATCATTAGAGGGCAAAGGCCAAGATGCCTAACCACCTGCTGCAGAATCCTGCTCCAGGACTGAAGTGTATAGGCCCTATCAAAATAAAAACTGGAGGCCAAGTACAGTGGCTCACACCTGTAATCTCAGCACTTAAGGAGGCCAAGGCAGGAGTATCGCTTGAGCCCAGGAGCTTGAAACCAGCCTGGGCAACATAGTGAGACTCCATTGAAAAAATCTAAAAAAATTAGTGGGGCGTGATGGTATGTGCCTATAGTCACAGCCACCCCAGAGACTGAGGTGGGAGAATTGCCTGAGCCCAGGAGTTCAAGGCTGCATTGAGCTATAATCACGCCACTGCACTCCAACCTGGACAGAACAAGACCCTGTCTCTAGAAAAAACAAACAAAAACCCAACAACTGGAAACATCCTCTTCTAGAATGGTAGTCAGGAACATGTCTGCGTTGTTCCCTGATGTCTCTCCAGCACCTAGAACAGCGCTCAGCAGCAGTACACATTCATTAGGTTTTCATTGAATAAATGCCTCCTTTGACACAGCAATTCCACTTTTAAGAATCTGTCCTAAAGAAATACACATGTGCAGTGCTGTGTGCACAATAATGAGAGGCACAAACAACTGGGGAAAGTTTGCAAATGTTTATTAACTGTAACAGATACAGGGAATCATTGAGGGAAGTCTGTAGCACGGAGTGCATGTTAAACAGGAAACAGTGAGGGAGGCTTAACCAGGACACATGGCAGTGGGGAAAAGCAGATGGGAGATGCTTGTAGTGGTACTTGGGGTGTGTGTGGTGTGTGTGTGTGTAAATGCAGAGGAAAGAATCTGAAATTAAACGCTCAGAACTGCCCTCAGTAATCACACCTGGGAGGGTAGTGCTGTTCTATGCAGAGAATATCTGACAATACTACAACACTTGCTTTCTAAGGTAGGTGCATGGATACACAAATCGAAATATGTATTAAGTATATCTTGCTCATCAACGGAAACATTAGTATCTACCAATAGCACACTGTAAGAAAATACAACGGAAACGCTACCATCGAACTCTTGGCACACTAAGAAAAATGATGCTCAATTTTTCACTGTTGCGAACACTTGCTATACACCTGATGACGAGGTGTTTGCAGCCATGCCCATGTTTGTGAAAGGTCACCAAGTTCTGCTTCTCATCATGGGCATGTGTCATATCCCTGAGGCTGAGGCAAGAAGAGAGAAAGAAAAAAGTGGCAGTGAGTTCCCACTGCCTGGTAACTCAATCTCAACTCTTGACCTGCGGACCCTGCACATACCCTCCACTGTTCCTCGAAGTGAACAATGTGCTCATGCCACAGTGACCTCCTCGCCTGGTTTATCAATTCCTAGGCTACAGGAAGTTGTGGCCCACATATCAGGGCTGAGGCTGACATGGGATTTGGGAACCCACAGCATCCTGGGTAGGGAGGATCCCTGGATATTCAGGGCAGGGAGTAGAAAGAGTATGGGAAATCAACCATTCAGCCTCAGTGCTGTACCCCAGAAAATTATGAGAAGGGAATGATTTGGGGGAACAAGCGACAAGATGGGATACCAGTACTGTAACAGAATTGCATATCTGCAGGGATGTAGGGGATGAGCTGAAGATTCACTTACAGAGTTATTCGTCATCTTCCTCAGGGTCGCTGATCTCTTCATAGATCACCAGATTCTTTCTCTCACGCAGTCTATGGGACCAGGCATGTTTCGCCCTTTTGGGTCCTACGATGAAGAGTTGGGATATAAGAATTGGGTAGATTTGAGTGTTAGGCTCTGTTTTCTCAAAAGGAGATGCCTCCCTGCTTCCAAGTGCCCATGGGCCTTCTTTATCCAGTTTTTCACATTCTCTGGCTTAGAGAGGCGAGACCTTAAACCCATACCAATACAGGCCAAATGCCAATTAAACTTTTAGCTTTGGGCTCCTTCCGTTGTCAGCTTTAGATTCTCAGCCTCTTCACTTACGACAACATTCACCCATACCTTCTTTCATTCAGCAGGCATTTGTTAAGGGCGCACAGGCATACCTTTTTTATAGCACCACATTTTTATAGTGCTTCACAGATACTGCAATTTTTTTTTGGAAGTTCTCACCAATTTTATACTTTTCCATTATTATTATATCTGTTATGGTGATCTGTGATCAGTGAGCTTTGATGTTATTATCGTAATTGGTTTTTAGTCTTTTAAGATAATTTTTGTGTTTGTGGGCACACAATAGGTATATATACTTACGGGGTACGGGAGATGTTTTGATACAGGCATGCAACGCATAATAATCACATCATGGAAAATAAGGTATCCATCCCCTCAAGCATTTATCCTTTGTGTTACAAACAATCCAGTTAGACTCTTTTAGTTATTTTTCAATGTACAATTAAGTTATTATTGACTATAGTCACCCTGTTGTGTGTAATTGTTTTGGGGGTACCAGGAACTGCACCCATAAAAGATGACAAACTTAATCGATCAATGTTGTGTGTGTTCTGACTGCTCCACCGATGAGCTGTTCACCGTCTCTCTCTTCCTTTTCTCGGGCCTCCCTATGTCCTGAGACACAGCAATACTGAAATTAGGACAATTAACAAGCCTACAATGGCCGCGAAGTGTTCAAATAAAAGAAAGAATCACGTCTCTCACTGTAAATCAGAAGCTAGAAATGGCAAAGCTTAGTGAGGAAGGCATGGTGAAAGCCAAGATAGGCTGAAAGCTAGACCTCTTGCACCGAACAGCCAAGCTGTGAATGCAAAGGAAAAGTTCTTGATAATACCACAAATACTCTGGTGAACACACAAATAAGAAAGCAAAACAGCCTTACTGCTGAAATAGAGAAAGTTTGAGTGGTCAGGATAGAAGATCAAACTAGCCACCATATTTCTTTAAGCCAAAGTCTAATTCAGAGCAAGAGCCAAACACTTTTCAAGTACATGAAAGCTGAGAGAGGTGAAGAAGCTGCAGAAGAAACGTGCAAAGATAGCAGAGGTTGGTTCGTGAGGTTTAAGGAAAGAAGCTGTCTCCATAATATAGAAGTGCAAGGTGAAACAGCAAGTGCTGATGGAGAAGCTGCAGCAAGTTATCTGGAAGATCTAGTTAAGATCATTGATGAAGGGGGCTACACTAAACAACAGATTTTCAGTGTAGATAAAATAGCCTTATATTGGAAGAAGATGCCATCTTGGACTTTCATAGCTAGAGAGGACTGACTTCAACTTTGAAAGAAGTTCTACTGTGGGTAAAATGCTATCAAACAGCACCACATACTACAGAGAAATCTTTCATGAAAGGGAAAGCTAATCGATGTGGTAAATTTCATTGTTTTCAAGAAACTGCCACAGCCACTCCAACCTTCAGCAACCACCACCTTGATCAGCCAGCAGCCATCAACACCGAGGCAAGACCCTCCACCAGCAAACAGAGTGTGACTCACTGAAGACTCAGAAGATTGTTAGCATTTTAAACAATAAATTATTTTAAAATTAAGCTATGTACATTTTTGGACATAATGCTATTGCACACTTGGTAGACTATAGTATCATATAAACATAATGTTTTTATACACTGCGAAAAAAAATGTGTGACTCACTTTATTGCAGTGGTCTGGAACCGAACCTGCAATATCTCTGAGGCTATATTGGTTATCAGACATTGAACTGAGTAAGATATGATCCCAGGTTATCACAGATAGAATTGCTTGAGCACCTTTCATGTCATCAGGCCTTCTAGATTTAATTTAATGCCTCCAAACAATTTATCAACTATGATTCTTTATTTCCATCTTATGGACTAGGAATCTGGAGCTCAAAACAATTTAGAAGACTTGCCCCAGCCGGGCGCGGTGGCTCAAGCCTGTAATCCCAGCACTTTGGGAGGCTGAGGCGGGTGGATCATGAGGTCAAGAGATCAAGACCATCCTGGTCAACAAGGTGAAACCTCGTCTCTACTAAAAATACAAAAATTAGCTGGGCATGATGGTGCATGCCTGTAGTCCCAGCTACTCGGGAGGCTGAGGCCGGAGAATTGCTTGAACCCAGGAGG